CTTCCCTCCCAGCTGGCAGCTGCTGCTCTCTGTACCGACTGGCTCCCCTCCCCACTGGAACAGCAGCTGCCTGAGGGCAGGGACCCTGTGTGACGTGCCCAGCACGGAGACCAGCCCAGAGTCAGGCTGTGCTGAGGCCACTGCCCTCGGGCACACGATCACCGTGGCACAGACGGACAGATGGGTGGCCGACAGGGATAGGTGGTGGGTAAATGCACGGATGTGGGTGCGTGAAGATGAACAAATGGGTGGGCAGATGGGCACGGGCTGTGGCCACCACGGGTGAGGACATGGCTCAGCCCCCACCTCTGCAGTCCTCACATGGCAGCCAGCCTGAAAGACCCTCCTGTGCCCAGAGGTTGGGAGACTGAGGCTCTCTGACTCCAGGCAGAGGCTGATGGGTTTTATTGCTTTTGTACAAATTATGGCTGCTCAGAAAAGGCCCAAGGAGCCACGTAATGAGTGTCATAAACCTGCCTAGTAAAGACAGCGCCTGTATCGGGCCTGGTGCAGAGCGAGGGCGGCAGGGCCTGGGCGGCTGGTGGCATCTGCAGTGTCCCACCTGGGCACAGAGTCCCACCAGGGTCTCTGCCCCTCCCGCCCACCTCCAGCCTCCCTGTCCCAGGCCTGCCCCCAAGCACGCGGTGAGCTCCCTCCTCAGGGGCCTCAGAGCCTCCCACCGGCCCCGCTGTTCAAACCTGTGCCTGCTTCAGTCGGCCTGGCCCCTCCTCCCGCCCACTTCCAGACCTCCCTGTCCCTGTCCCCGCCGACCTGGCTCCCCTTCCCACCCGTCTGCGCTGTGCTTAACACCCCAACTGGGGCAGCAGCTCCCTGGCTTCCCTTACCAGGGCCTTTCCCGTCTGTCTCCCCACAGGCATGCCCTGGCCATGGCCACGCTCCGCACACACGGGCTAGAGGGGAGGCAAGGGGACCGATTTCTCCACACCTCAGTTTGTGCAGGGCAGGTGTCTGTGACCCTGATGGACGGCCTCGCCAGTGGGGACAGGAAGGGTCTGTGGGGCTGCGGCCAAGAGGGCGCTACTGGGGGCAGAGGAGGACGTGTGGGTATAGCCACGCAGGTGGCCCTTCTTGGCGGGCACAAGGGGCCGGGCAGCCGCATGGAGGACAATCCTGGACGGGCGGAGCTGAGTGGTGAGGGAGGTCTGAGGGTCTCAGTTCCCAGTCACTGAGGTGGGTGCCCATGGGTGGCCCCATTGGCCTCTCTGGGCCTGCAACCCTGTCTGGAGAACACGATGATCTGGTAACTAAATGCCGCGTGCAGGATGAGATGGGTCCCTGAGGCCTGGGCCTCACCATGGGCTGCCACCGATACCCTGCAGCTCATCCGGCCCCTCACCCTGGCCCCTGCACGCCCCCTGCTGGCCACGGGCCCTTCCAGAACATTCTGTGCACGGGTGTGGGAGGGCAAGCCAGGCTCCTGTGCCGGCAGGAATGGCTCCAACCCCAGCAGGCTCTTGTGGATCCTCATTCTGTCTAACGAATCCGCCAGCCCCTGCCACGCTGCCCCTGCCACGCTGCCCCTGCCACGCTGCCGTCAGTCACCACATCCTCGGGTGGAAGCAGCTCAACCTTACAGTGCTGACGGTGGCCGAGGAGGCCAAACCACACACTCGGGGCAGCAGCTGCTGAGGATGAGCAATAGCTGGGGCTTTGCTGGCCACCGATGTGGACAAAATTACACCACTTTCAGGACGGTTCATAAAACCAGACCAGGTGAAGAATGCCTGTGCCGCTCAGCAACATGGGAGGCTGCCGGCCTGGCTGTGGCTCCTCAGTCACAGATAGGCAGCCAGTCACAGAGAGGCAGGCAGCAAGGGGTGCACACGTGAGCAACACGCAACACCACATGCACAACATGCAACGCCACATGCACAACACACCGTGCCACGTGAGCAACACAACGCCAAGTAGTTCACAACACACACCACGTGCACAACATGCAATGCCAAATTCACAACACACAATGCCAAGTTTGCAACACGCAACACCACGTGCACAACACACACAGGTCACGCGCGTGGATGCACGCGCGCACACACACACGCAGAGGCCCAGCGAGGAACCCGTGACACTGCTCGACAAGGCAACACACAGCCCCACACAGCCCACCACACGGGGGTGCCGCGGACACGAGGTGCACACGGGCACATGCGCACATACACACACACACACACGCACATGCACACACGCCCACACACATACGGCAGCCCCAGCCTAGGGAGCACCCCAGGAGTCTGAGGGCCTCAGGGAAGTACCGAACCCCCACTAGTGGGTCCCAGGCTCCAGCACAATCCAGACCCTCACCCAGGCCCCCTGCCTGCTCCTGGGTCCTGCCTGTCCTGTTCCTGGGCACGTGTCCCATGGGGCCGGTTCTGGTCCTCTGCCCCGGGGACTGTGGGGCTGTTTCTGGGTCCTCTGCCCCTGAGGTGGTCTGGCCTCCACCTGCCTCCAGTCCTCGGTGCCGGCGAGGAGCACTTTCGAGGAGGCCGGGCACCTCCCTGCTGTCTGCCTGGAGCCTGGGCTCTCACCTGTACCCCCCCACACACTGGACACAACGGGCCCCCAGGGCTGACAGCGTGGGCGACTGAGGGCTACACCGGACCAGGGCCCCAGGTGCACACCTGCACATGGCGGGGCCCATCTGTACGCACCAGGGTCTGAAACACAGGTCTGTGTGCGCCGGGGCCCAGGGCACACACACAGGACCGTCTGCAGCCCTCAGGGTCCTCCCGGGCTCCTGCGGCTTGGAGGGGAACCCCATCCCCTGGGCAGCAGGCCGGCTCCTCCCCTGCCTTCCCCCTCACCCCACCCCACCATCTGTCACTTCTGTGCCTCGGCTGTGGGGGTTAAGCTGCAAGCAGCTGGCAAGTTAATGACGGGCTTTCTCAGGAAACACAGAGAGTGCTCTGGAGAGAAGACCTGAATAACGAATGGAGACTAAGAAGCAGAAGGGCACCCAGTGGCTCAGGGCAGAGAGGCCCAGGTGCCCTGGGGGCCTCAGACCAGCTGGGGTGGCCACAGGAGGTGACCATGTGCACACCTCACCAGTAACAGGGGGCAGAGCCCACCTTCCAGAGCTTAAGACCTGGCCCTCCCCCGACCCACAGTAAGCCGGCAGGAGCCCTGCCCGGCACTCGGAGATGTCACCGACACTCACAGTCTAGCACCTACGCAGGGGCCGCAGCCCTCCTCCTGCCCACGGAGTCAGCATCAGGGCACCCCCCTTGGCCCAGGTGCCTCCCAGCAGCCAGGGCCAGGTGGCTTTAGCCTATTTCCACACGCTGACCCCGAACGTGCACACCAGGAGCCGGCCTGTCGGGATATGGTTGAGGGCCTGCCCAGTACACCGCCCAGAGAAGGGTGGCGGAGCGTCGTCACACTCATGACGATGGCTGTCAGGACAACCACAGCCACCTCTGAGGGGCTGCCCCCTGCGCACAGACGACAACAGCAAGAGTGCCCAAAGCTCGCCGAGGCCCCACGCAGCACAGGAGGAAGGAAAGCCCCAGGAAGAGGTCTCTTGGGCGGGTGGACGCTCCAGGAACCATTGCCCAGAAGTGAGCTCCGGCCACCCCAGGTCAACGGCTCATGGACTCTGGGCCAAACCAGGTGAGAGGCCAAAGGCAGAACCCGGGGTGGCAGAGCCGAGCCCAGGGTGGCAGAGCTGAGTCCAGGGCTTTACACAGACCCTCAGGTGAAAGGGCAGCCTCAGGGGAGCTGGGGTGGGGGTGCGAAGGGCCCAGCTGAGCCCCTGCCGTGACCCAGTCAAGTGGCCAATTCCTGCCCATGATCCTGGGTCCAGGGAGCATGGGGTCCACTCCTGGCCTGTGGCCGCGCTGCCCATGCCGCCCCCTCACCGCCTCCTGCTCTGCCACCAGCAGAAGCTGTGGGACAGAGACAGTGGGGCGTGTCCCCACCAGTCCGCATCCCCTCTGGCCTGGCCACACTGGGTCACTGATGGTTAATTACACACCCTATAAAAAGCTGCTGTGGTTTAGTGAGGGAGCCTCTCCGGCCTGGAAATTGCGGGGGCTGCAGGGACGGGGCGGGCGGAGTCCAGGCCCCCACCCTCCCACGAGCCGAGCAGGCCGTCAATCTGTAGAAATGGCTTTTATGGAGCTCTGGGTTTTACGATGTCATTAATGTTCCTCCTGATACTTAAGGGAAAATGAAACACAGTCATGAGGAGAGCAGGGGACAGCGGTGATGGGGGTTGGGGAGATGGGGCTGGGCCTCCAGGTCTGGGGGACAAGGGTCGGCGCCTGGCCTCCCAGGCCACTCCCACAGTAAGTCCAGGCACATGTGCAAGGAGACCTCCGCCGTGCCATGTGCACCCATGGGGCGGCACGGCACACCGAAACACACCCACTCCCCCTGGGCACACACCCGCTCCCCCCCGGGCACACACCCATCATGAAGGCTGCACACGGGTCTCCTTCCCCCTGCCCGCCACGGGGTGCTGGCTCCCTGGGTGCTGCTCTGCAGTGCCCAACCTGGGCCCAGTCCTCTCTGTCCGGGCTGAAGCAGGTACCGGTTGGGGCATTGGAGGCGGCTGCTCACACCACGGGCACCTCCACACCAAATGTCCCAGGCCCCCAGTAGGACCCCAGGAAGCAGCCCGGCCATGGTCCCGCGGATCCCGGCGGCCTTAGCCGCAGCTGGGGTCTGTGCAGGCTGACCACTCCGAGGCTCCTGGCAGGGCCACAGCCACAGGGCCAGCCCATCCCCCTGGGGCAGCACGTCAGCCTGGGGGCCTCTGGCAAACCGTGAGCAGGACACTCCCCCGAATCTTCATCCGGAGCTTGCCCGCTCCCCACCAGCCCCATGGTGCTTGAGGCCAGAACCAGTCTGGGGCTTCAGAGGGAAAGCGGGCACAAGACAGGTGAGCTAGGTTGTGGGGCCTCGGACAGGTGAGGTGGGGGCCCGGTCCTAAGGCCCCAAGGGGACAAAGATGGTTGGGGGGGTGCTGGGGGACTTACAGAGTAGCCTCTCCCTGAGACCGCCTGCGCAGAGCTCTGCAGGAAGGAAGAGGGGACAGTCAGTGAGGCTGCGGCTCTGACCCAAACTCCTAGGGACGCACCCGGCCACCTGCCCTGCAGCCCCGCAGCCCTACAGCCCATAACCCGGCTGAGCACCTCTCCCGGGTGGGGACAGGTCCAGATGCCCAGGCCCAAGACCGCCAGCGAGACGTCCTCACAGGCAGGGGGGCACGAGGGCTGAGGCCACGGGGAGGAGGACAGAGCTTGGCGTCATGGGGGTGCCGTGGTGGGGTCCTCCCCGGGGCTGTTGTCCTCCTGGCCCAGCCAGTCTGAGGCTCCCCTGCAGCAGCTCTGGGATCCAAACCCGAGGAGGCTCCCACAGAGACGCCCTTGGCTAGCTCCCTGTCCCCAAGAGGGAAGGCCCCACCAGAAACGCTCCTCAGAGGAGGCAGGAAGACCTGGGGGAGGCCGGCCCAGGGCCCCAGCTTCTGCTGACCTCCCTCCATGCCCACCCACCAGAGGGGTCCACAGTTGCAGGACTTCGGGGAGGGTGCCCTGGCTAGTCATGGAAGGTTTCCTGGAGAAGGTGCCAGATGGAGCCCTCAAAGGAGGGTTTACCACAGGGGCCTGACAGGTGAAGGGGTCGGGGCTGGGGGATGGCAGCTGGGAGCCCCTCAGACATCAGGGCACACTCTGGTATGCAGGGGCTGCTGGGGTCCCCCATACTCTTGGTGGGGATCCCTCTGGTCTGCAGGGGCTGCTGGGGGCCCCCCACACCCTTGGTGGGGATCCCTCTGGTCTGCAGGGGCTGCTGGGGGCCCCCTATACCCTTGGATCCCTCTGGCTTGAGTGGGTGTTGTGAGGTCTTCAGGACAGAGGTGTGGATCACACCAGCTACACACTCGGACCACCAGGGCCTCCCCCAGCCGGAGTAGAGGGGAAGCAGGCTCAGGGTTGCTGTAGTGGATGGGGTGGGTCACTGAGCCAGGCAGGGTGGGGCTCACGGAGAGGGTCCAGAGCAGCCTGGGGAGCAGGGGGCAGATGCAAAGATCCAACACCCCGAGGGGCAGGGCAGAGGAGGAAAAGGGGGGCTATGGGGCCAGCTGAGAGCAGCCCCCCACTCTCCCAAACCAATCTAAAACCCCCACTACAAAGTTGGGGAGGACACCCCCTCCCCTTCCCCAGACAGACCCTTGCCAGGGCCAGGTCAACTCCTGAAGGGCCCCAGGGTGTCAGGGGACAGAGCCCAAGGCCCTGGGTCCCAATGGGCCCACCCGCCAGCTCCCAGCTGTCAGAGGGGCGGGGGGGCCTTTGTCGCCCCGGGTTTGAGCCTCAGTCCCAGCTGCTGCGTTGTGCCCAGAATGTGACTTCATTCACCATGGGCTGGCAATCAGAGGAAGAACCAGGGCAGCGGCGACCCCAGGTAATTCCCAGTCTATTTTCCTAACTTGTGGCAACAAGATGGGGAGACGGGCAGTGAGGCCTTCATTTAAGTGATAATGAGATGCCTCAGGTTCCATTCATCGGAACTCCTCCCACCGCCCACCCCCCACACCTGCAGGAGCTGGGGAAAAGGTGTCAACGCCTCCCGCCTCTTCCAGGCCCCAGCCCGGTGCTCCCACAGCCGCGCTCTCAGGGTCCAGCCCTGTCACTGGCCAAATCCAGCATGAGAGCCTAAGTGTGGGGGGTCCCGGCCCCCCTGGGACCTGGGGCCTAGGGGCCTCTCTCAGGGACACCAAAGGCGTGTCCTGACCCAGGTCAGTGTGTGCCTCTGCCTGGCACGGGCACGTCGGGAGCCTGGGACGCTCGGCCCAGACCTGATCAGGGTGAAAGAAGCACCTTCCGCTGACGTTTAACAAACCCCGTACCCTGCTGCCTCCACACTCCACCTGTCTCCCGCCCCAGCCCACGAGGCAGGTGGCTGTCCCCAGCAGCAGGGCAGGACCCACGGCAGCCCAGGCGTCCCCAGCGGTAGCACAGGGGTGCCCATCTCGAGGCTCGGCCGTCATCCGCCTGCCCTCTACCCCCAGGGCCAGCGGTGCAGGCGCAGCGTCCAAGGCAGGCTGAACGTTTTGGGCTCTGGGCTCTGGGCTCCTGCTAGCTCGCTCACCGTTTCTTCATTTAAATCTCTCCTAATGGGGAAAGTCCTAATGAGTAAAAAATCATGCTTTAATGAAGGCAAAATGCTAATTGCTAAGACAACGCCTTCATGGGAAACCGGGCCCTAACCAGCGGCTTCCAGGATGCCCTTGTGCAGGACGCAGCGGGCAGGCGGCCCAGACTCAGGGAGCCTCCAGGCGCAGGCAGCTGTGGGTACTCACATCGCTGAGCGGGTCCCGGGAGCTGGTGGCTTCGAGGACGCTGTCGTCGTCACTGTCCCGGTCGCCCCCTTTGGACACGGTGACCTTCATCTGGGACAGAGAGAGACACTGTCTCAGGCAAAACTCCACCTCACCATGTCCGCATCGGGGCCCGCTAGCTAGGGCTACGTGCCTGCTCCCGGCACCCTGGCCCCGGGGACCCCAACAGCCACTGGGCGCTCTGGGATGTGACGTGCTGTGGTGGGCCGGGTCCTGGTCTGGGGGCGGGAGCAGCAGCAGGACAGAGCTCTGCAGAGCCAGGAATGCCATCCCGGCTGACGGCTCACACACCGACAACACACTCTACCAGGATGGGGAGGACCCACCCAGGACCCGCCGGCTCACTGACATGAGAACCGCCATGTGCTCGGAGCCGCCCCTTCCACAAGCCACTGACTTTGAAGACATCCTGGGGGTGCTGGGGACCACGGGTGGGGCCTTCTCCCACACCCTGGGCTCTTCTTGACCTCAACGGCCAAGCCGCCCGCTGGCTGGTTAGCACTACTCCATCTGGCTGTACAGGGCTACGACCTCCAGGCCAAGCCTCAGTACCACCCACTGTCCCTTGGCTGTGCCCACTCCACCCCCTTCAGTCGGCACCATCCCGGGGTAAGCAGCAAGGTGGTGGTGGGACCTGCCTGTCCCTGGCCATGTGCCCTTGGGCCACTGCTCAGCCTCCCCATGCCTCGGTTTCATCACCTGCAGAAGGGAGCAGCCACACTCACTGCCCACCGCCACCACCTCTGACACCAGCCAGCATGGGCGCCGCTGCATGCCAGGGCCTGGCCCAGGCGCTCTGCACGCACTCACACGTTTGCTCACACAGTGGCCCCGAGTAGAAACTATTTTCCTTTACGTTTCGTGGATGAGCAAACAGACGTGCAGACAGGTTAAGTGGCCACACAGGGACCAAACCCAGAGCCCTGCATGTATTTAACTTTCCTACTTGGAAATAATTTCAAACCTGCACAACGCTGAGGGAAGTGAGAGGCCAGAGCTCCTGCTGGTCGGCACCCAGCAGGGACGCCCCGCACAGCCAGCTCCCAGCCTCCCGTGGAGGCCCAGCAGTCTCTCTCTCTGGCCACCTCGGATCTAGAACAATTCTGCACCTTGTGGCGACATGCCCCAGCACGTCTGGGCCCCCAGGCCTCGCATCCCAGGGCCCCCAGTGAGGCCCTTTACATTGAGTCATCCTAGGCAGGAGCGCGCCCCAGCCTGGGGAAACCTGTCCCAGGACCGGCTGGTGTGGCTCGCTACAGCCATGAGCCTGGCTCCCCGCCGACCTCGGGCGCAGCCAGAGCCCGCTCTGTGCACCTCCTGCAGCAACAGGCCTCCGGGGTCCCGCACCCCTTCCCTGTGTGGCTGACGGTGCACACAAGGCAGACAGTGCCAGTACCAATTAAGGGATGTCACCCAGGCCCCTGAGGTCCAATGCCCCGGGCCCATGAGGTCCATCAGGCCGCACAGTAGCAGGAGCCCGCACTGGAGGAGGCCCCGGCTGGGCGGGGACGCAGCCCCCGAGCAGTCTGAGCCTACTGGGCAGGCGCTGGGGTCAGGGTGGTCGGCTAGTGACCTGCTTAGTTGCGCAGTAGCCCTCACAGACCCTGTCCAGGCTGCCCGGCTCTTCCCGGCACTGTGGCCTTGGGCAAGGGACTGGCCTCCCCCAGCCTCAGTTTCAGCGTCTGTAACTGTAACATTCCGGAATCCTGGCAGGGCCCCTCGGTGCAATGAGGTTTAGGTGGTGGCATGGCCAGTGCAGCGGATCCTGGGGCCGGCACCTTCCAGGCCACCAGGTGTCACTGTTGTCACCAGCTGGACTCTCACGACCCCTCCTTTCTCACCCCTGGAGCTGGCATCACGGTCTCAGTCGGGCAGCCCTGCCCGCCGCGTCCCACACGTGCTGCCCTGCTGGGGCCGTCAAGAGTTCCGTTCACCTCCACAAGGAGCCAAGGGTCCCACTCCTAGTGGTTCTCAAAGTGGGGTCCTGGAAATGCAGCATCACCGTCCCCAGAGCCTGTCAGGAAGGAGTCTCCAGGCCCGCTCCAGGAACCGTGTGTCACCGGCCCGCTGGGGGTCTGGCCATTGGCAACGGCCCCATGAGCCCTGCACTCACTGCTAGGGAGAGCGGTTCAGGGCAGGACCTGGCGGCGACAGGAAAGGCTGCCACAGGGCTGCTGAGTACAGTGGTGCCGGCTGCTCACTGCCCAAGGACACCCAGCCGGTGGGAGGGGAGGCGGGGCTAAGATACACCCACACAGCGGAGTCGTGAGAAGTAGGGCACCTCTCCACACTTCACACCTACACAAAAGCCACCTCCGGTCAGGGCTGGGCACAGACGGAACGCTTCACCCCCACGCCCGCAGAGGGGCTCAGCGGGCTGCCCTGCGTGTGCTCCTCCCGCACCTGGAGGCCCTGAGAGGTGGCCAGGCACGTCGTGGGGTGGGGTCTCTTCCCCTTCCTCGGGTGGCTGGTTTTAGCTCTGAAAGTCCCAAGTCTCGAAAAACCCTGTAGAACTGGGAACCTGTGTCCTGGACATAGGGCACGGCTGGTCACCCCACTCTGTCCCCAGGCAGGACCCCAAACAGCCAAGGGGGCTGCCCTCAGTCCAGCCGCTTCTCAGTGCTGCCCACCAGCCACGCCAGGGGCCAGGGAGGCCACACGTCCACTCCCCGCAGGAGCTGGAGAGACAAGATCACAGTCCCTGGAGACCCATCCATGTCTGGGGCCAGAGGGTGACCCCTTTGCCGTGGAGGGCGGGCAGGAGCTACTGCACCTGTGCCCACCCCAGCCTTGAAGTGTGCCCACCTATCTGTCCACTCGTCCAACCAACGCCTGTGGAGCCCCGATGAGTCAGGTACCGCTCTGGGCAGTTAGCAGAGCAGACCCAAGCCCCTGCCCTCCCAGAGTGACAAAGGAGCAACCGTTCCTGGTGCACACAGAAGGTGGCTCCATCTGCCAGGTGGCAGGTGCTGGGGGACAGGCAGCGCAGGCCGGGTAGGGCCCCGGACGCAGTTCACTGATGGCGCCAACAGCCAACAGCCCAGCAGGCCCGGCACACACACTGCAGCCCCAAGTTGCCCTCCTCACAGTGCGCCCTGCTGCCCCACTGAGCCTGTGGTTCCTAGGGTAGGGGGAGGAAGGCTGAGTCTGTCCAGTTATGTCAGCAGGTGGGGTGTGTGGCAGGAGCAGGGTGCGAGGAACAGCTCCTAGCGGGCCAGCATGGAGCGCCTGTCAGTTTCTGCAACTTTAGTACCCAAACCACAGTTGATGGAAGCCACTAACAGTTTAACAGCCGGCTTCAAATTTCCTGAACCCTCAGTAACCTGCTCCTGCAAGCTGCACTCCACTGGGCAGCCACAGACCAGCTGCTGGTGGGGCCAGGACCGTGTCCCAAGAGCACTGGGGCCCTGAGGGTTCTGGCAGTAACCGCAGGAACATGGTGGCTCCAGGCATAGAGAGATCCTCCCCCAGGGTCCCCTCCTCTCACCAACCCCCTCCCTCCACACCGTCCCCCAGCTCCAGGCTGCACGTCCAAAAATCACTGCCTCTGGGTTGGCCACAGAAACGTGGTTCCACTGGGAGGCTCAGGCTCAGTCAGGGGCTCAGGTGCAGACCGGCCTGTCCAGGACTAGTGCCCCTGAGCTGTCCTGTTGCTGGGAAGGGGCCAGAGAGACAGGAGCCAGCAGAGGTCCCATCATGAAGCAGCCAGGAAACCCTCTGGGGCGCACAGAGACCCACACAGACCCACAGGTACTGGCAGGCACACACACCGCCCCAGGCTGAGGGGATGCACCGGCCGCATACACGCACCCACGCCCCTCTCCACCACAGCAGTCACACTGGCCCTGTACACACCGTGTCCCATGCACATGGCTCACTGATTCATCGTCCCACCTACTCCCCAGACCCGCCCCAAGGCTCTGAGCACACACTGTCCTGCACAGGCCCTGCCCAAAGTGGAGCACCCAAGAGGCCCCACACCAGCCCCCGTATCCCTGTGTACATACTGAGCAGAAGGTGCCCTCCCTGGGAACGTGCAATGGTCAGGGCAAATGCGCGCACCACATACGGCACGGCGGGAATGGCAGCCTTGGAGTGGTGCAGTGCACAACTCCGACAGCTACACTCTGCAGCCCTGGTGAGCCTCACACCAATCAGATCACACCCAGGGGACTCTCACACCCCATCCCACGGTGTCACATTCAGGCAAGGGCTATCCTACAGGTGCATGATCTCAGACTGGCCGGCGACAGTGCCTCCAGCCTCTGCACCCGCAGGCCTGGGAGGGAGGGTAGGAGTCAGGGGCTGCCTGGGCTGCTGTTCTAATGTGGACCCTGGAGAACCCTGAGAAGGGTCCTGTGGCCTCCTCAGACCTGCCAGGCCAAGGGCAGGCCCCCTGGGAGATGGGGAAGAGGTCAGGCCCCCACACCCGCTAGCTGGGCTGGGCCACAGTTCCAGCAGAAGACAGGAACGTGACGCCCCTGAAGAAATGGAGCACAGATATGCAGAGGCGGAACTGCCACCATCCCGTGTCCTAGTGGAAATGTGTGTGGACCCAGCACACCCCTGCCCCAGCCCCGCAGCCTGTGCTCCCTCCTCCTCGCAGTCCCTGCTTCCTCCTAAGGAGCTGAGCCCCTTAGAACAAGGCTCCTGGCCTGGTGCAAACAGTGCTCCCTCAGGGAGCTTTCAGGACTCCTGGGCCTCCCCTAGGGACTGGACGTCATGGGCCTGGACTTCAGACTTTCCAAGTTCCCCACCCGCCAAGGTTGAGAAGCCTCAGGGGACTGCAGTGGGTGTCCTGCTCCCTGGCTCAGGGCAGGGCAGGGCAAAGAGGGTGTGGCTGCTATCGTCCACAACGCTCCATTTCCCCACCTCCCACAGTCCCTACCAGCTCCCAGCTGGTCCAGGTTTTCTGTGTTTTATGAGCCCCCAAAGCCGTCCCTGAATCCTGAGAGCAGGTGCCTGGCACAACTGTGGGTGGGTGGTACCTCTCTCCGCTGCCTTCGCTCCCAACGGGACAGCCCTGGATCCCTCACAGTGTCTCTAGGCCT